AGTGTACCTCTGGTGCAAATTACTGACCTCTGTCATCATTTTAAGTGGGGGAACTTGCACAATCGGTGGCTGACTAAATACTTTTTTGCCCCACTGTATCTGCAACTAAAAATTCAATACAGTTTGCGAGACTGCTAACTACCTTTGTAAAACCACAATGAAGTTGGGTTTTTAATAGGTTCCAACTATTTAGTTATTCAAACACACAAACATTTTATATTCACAACAATTTAGGGAAAATTTAATGTAGTAGCATTTAAAGTTCAAGCAAGCACTAAGGCACAGTTTCTTGTGGCATCTCAGAGCATCCTCACTTTGTTTATTAATGTTATGTAAAAATGATTTCAAAATGAGTCATTATTTTATGCTTATTCCTGTTTATACATTTCTTAAAAGGTTTAAAGGGGATTTGTTCACAGATTATTGTTTAGAGAGATGGATTCATGTGCATATATTTGCTGCTTTAACTGTCTTGCTTTCAAGATGTGTGTTTAGGGTTTCAATGTTTAGGTAACAATGACATGGGGAAAATTATGTCTGCCCGCCACAATTGTCCTTCGGCTGGCCGTGTTTGCAATCTGTCTGTGCACTTGCACATTTCTGGAACTCCCAGGAAGTGGAAACAGCTTTAAATATCCTACTGTTTGTGTCTTGCAGTTTTCTCAGTAGCTGCAATGCAGAGAGGAGCCAAGCAGCCACAACCCTCATAACCACCCACCATCTGCTGTGAAGAGTATTTTTTTTTTGTGGCTCTTCAATAGAAGCCAGTACAGCTCACTGAAGGGCACTTGTGACAGATAAGAATGGCACAAGCAGCTAGCGTGAGAAATTAAAACACAAAGGGGACGACGGTCTTAACTGAGAAGTAGCAAGACAGAGAAAGACAAGACACAGACCTCACGGGGCTAGCAAAAAACAGGACATGAGTATAAACAGCAATGGAAAAATATGGCTTCGTGTATTCCAGCACAACTTATTGCATTGAAACAAGGCTAACACACTTATCAGCCTGTTAGCATTCTTTTACTTGAAAATAAGCATGCTCCCTGGTTTGAAGCAGTAATTCTTAAGTAGATAGAAAATTGCTTTGGACGGGGGCGGGGGCGACTATGCGAGCGAACATAAAATGTTCGCTGCGTTTTCAGTTTTACCTGTTGGCAGCCCTTGAGGATGAGGAAGATGAATCTCCGTTTTCATGGATGGCGTCACCATTCTGTTGGGCCTCTGAAGATTTAAGAAACCAATGTTAGCCTAGAGATAACGGGATTATGTATGCTGGGAATTCATTCAACTCAATCTGTATGCACAATCCATTCACATACTGTTAATACAGATGAAAGACCCCTCCGCCCCTCCTCTCCCTTAGAAAAAGAAAAAAGAAAATAAATCACCCACCCCTAACATAAACACTGAGCTCACTGGAGCCATTTGGTGCATTGCCGTTGGTAAGTGGTGCCAGTTCCTCCTGGTTGGTGACAGTGAGTCCATCAAGGTACACGGTCAGCTCCCCCATGGGCACTGTCACCCCCTTCTGCTCCGCACTCAGCTTCAGCACTTCCTTCACATTCTCTACTGTGGATTCAAAGCAAGGATAGTATTAGAAACAGCGAATAATAATTACAAATAACGTTTAAAAAAAAACACAAAAAAACCCTACAATTACATGACACTATGCTTCTGCATCTTTGGAGGATATTATCGGGGTCATGCAACACATAGTACTAGTGAGCCTGATTTAAACAATCCATAATGAAGTGGTTTTCTGTCGGGTTTCTCCTGAATACAAACATTTTTTGAGCTGGGAAAAACCCTGTTTTGATGCTGTCCTAACCGTATATTTACTAAACAGTTAGACAAATTACAACCTACACTTTCTACATGTATCATTTGCTACTTTCTGTAACAAAAAAGTTACATTTTCTGTCATGGTCTTCCAAGGCTCGAGTGAGGTCCAGCGTGGCTTTGCCCAGCAGAGCATCTGCTTTCAGGGTGTGGTGGCTCCAAACTTTGAAATCCACCTGTGTGTGTGGAGTTACATTCCTAGAGAATCATAAACAAACACGCACAAAATATGTGTAATTCTTGAAATTCCCCCCAAAATCTTTTTAAACAATTCAAATAGATTTATGCTATCACAAAAAGGAAGAGCAGCAGTTAAAACTGTACTTTTAGTTTTTTAAAGTTAAAAAAACAAAAACAAAACTGGCAGTATTTTAATCTTCTTTTTACTCTAGGATGACTCAACTAAGGAATAAAAGGCTCTTATTGTTGAAACGCTCTGCAATACTCACACAGACTTATATTTCAAACACACTGAGATTTAAGAGCAACTCTAGAACTTTTATAAAGCATTTGTGTGTGAATCAGTGAATAAACTTATTGGTAAGGCGAGCAAAGGGAACACACTGAATTGATATGACATGTAACTATGATTCAACAGGTCCCCCTCTCAACAGTTATTCCCCACCTCAGGAAAGTATAACAACAAACAGAAAAAAAAAATATTTTGAAGCTTTGCATTCTTCTAGTTTCTCTATTTTTCAACACCTTCATCCCCTCAGAGCACCAATAACTTGTTATTTATCCTGGGTAACCAATGTACCAAGCACACATGATACCACTACCCTTTGATTTCCATCTTCAAAATGAACACTATACAGCACAGTAACTACATTTAGGTCTCTGAATATCAGCCTAAAGAAAAACACTGAATATTAAAGCCTTTGTGTAGCACCCATAACAGCTTGCAAAACATCCATTGTGTAAACACGAGACCACAAACAAGCAGCGCTCTGTCTTGTCAGCAATAACGACCCCATCAAGCCAATTAGCATTTCCAACGACATGCTTCTGACATATGGCTGAGCCAGTCGGAAGCCAGAGAGCTGCAAACGTCTGCCATGTTCAGGATGCTGGCTCCATTAAATGGTAAATCAAACACCATTTACAGAACTTTTCTAGTCCAGTCTGACCACTCAAAGAACTGCGGGCTTTTAAATGATACAAAGAGTTTTGTATATTATCATACAACTTTTCCCTTAGTTTAATACTTATAAAATCAGCCATCTGAGGGTTCTCCTGCTCTTATGATTGCCTAATAAGATTCAACAACCACTCTTGGATTAAATACTGTATAAGACTGCTGAACCAAACAAAAAACAAAGCACCACAGAAACTCTCTGTCAACAGCTTTTAATGTCAACACATAATACTGCAGAACAGCTTCTGGAAACGTCATACCTTTTTGCTTGTTTGTGTGTGTGTGTGTGTGTGTGTGTGTGTGTGTGTGTGTGTGTGTGTGTGTGTGTGTGTGTGTGTGTCTGTCTCCACAAACTTAGCTGTTAAATAAATAAAGATGAAAGAAACCGCCACTGACATTAAATAAAATGACATGCTTCAACACACAGCCTGTTGAACGCTGTCAGCCAGGTCTACACAGCACACTTACAAAGTGAGCCTCTCGTCCCATTTAGGATTGGAGGAGCTATGAGATTTTGTAGTGCGCCGCGTCTCCCCCTCAGCTGTCACCTCCACATAAATGGCAGT